GTTAGGTTTTTGAATTGCAATTGAACTTTGTCGGTTTACTGTGTTGAATTTTATACGGAAGATCGTGGATGGCGTCCATTTTGAAGCTCATTTGTTTGATTTTTTCGTTTTTCTATTTCTATAAAATGAAATTTTCAAATTTAAACAGATTACGTTGATGTTTCAGTGTTTGAAAAGTAAAGTTTGAGATTACTTTTTAAACTCTATCCAAATCTGAGGGATTCGTTTTTTTTTTAAATTTGAGTATACGCGTTAGGTTTTTGAATTGCAATTGAACTTTGTTGGTTTACTGTGTTGAATTTCATACGGAAGATCGTGGATGGCGTCCAATTTGAAGCTCATTTGTTTGATTTTCTCGTTTTTCTATTTAGATTTCCCGCCGCACGAGAACCGTGCGTAGCTTTGATCGGTCGCCGAGCCAATAGCAGTATCCAATCGGGTCACGTGTCCGCAGCGAAGTTATAAAAGTAGGGGGCCGTAGATCTGAAGCCTCTTTTCCAGTCACCCGTGCGTCGTCGAGTCCCGACGATAACACTAAAATAAAAAAAAAAGAACTACTACATTCAGTGCGCGAAGTGTGCAGGCCGCAAGAAACCAATCCGAATTAAGGACAGGAGAACTAAAGTACTACTACTTACTTGCAACACTCACGAGAGAAGATGCCGCAAACTGTGACCAACGGATACCCGAACGGACACATGTCCTACGACATGGAGGACGGATCCAACTTCCTCTTCACCTCCGAATCCGTCGGAGAGGGACATCCAGGTAACACCCCCATTGTTTGTTTTTGTTGTCATGAAACCCTCTCACTACAATCCTCTCTTTTGTTTTTATTGGTTTCGACACCCTGATTTGAGGAAGGGCTGTTGACATCTCCTCCACCACCTCCTCCTGGTGTGCGGCTCACGAACCCCACACACGTTTTCGGCGCCATTTCCGCAGATTTCGTAATAACCCAAAAATATACTCAAGACCGGCGAACACGTGCTCGCACTTCCTCCTACACCTCCACCACATCGCACGTTCTCTCGCTCACCTCTCTTCATCTTATAAAACATCCTCTTCATCTGCATTCGACAACGTAATCGACGGCATTCCACATTCAAATCGATCGATAACAGCAGCAAATCCGCAACGCACTTTCCCACACAAACACATGCAACAACAACAACGCAATTGTTTGTTTATGTTTGTCTGTTTCTTTTTGTTTTTTTCTCATAGCCTCCCTCGTGGTACTAGCACGTTGTCAAGCACGTTAACCTATTCCAATTTGAACTCTAACGTTTCGGCAACCCTTGCATCTGAATGCTGACCTCCATCACATGCAACCACATTAACAAACAAACCTTCGCTCAATTGTATTGACAACCCTTTTCTCTGATCTAAATATTTACCCTTGTCGCAACCAAACTTGCACCAGCTGATAACACGACTCGTAGGCAATTTATTGAGCGTCCTTGGATGTACCAAAGTTCAGATCATGTTTGAACTTGATTTTCGTGTAATTCCTATTCCACTTTACATCATCACTCTTTCATTCATCACAATCATTATCTTTTATTTCATCATAATTCAATTTGCAATAAACAACAATGTTAATATAATTGCCTATCTAATAATAATAATTCGAAAATTTAAATATTTAATTACCAATTATATTTCATGACGCCGATCATAATTTAAAATTCAATTTGAATTCGTGAATCTGATTAGAATTTAATATTTGATAAAATTAAGTTTTATCAATTTTCCCAACTAATTTGTCATCTTTATTTTTCAAAAATTATAGCTTGAAATAATTGTCTTTTTGCACTAATTGATTGACTTACTCATCAATTGTAAATTTGCTCATGTTTTTATTTTATCAACTACAGTTGTCAAAGTTAAAGTGAAACTCAGCAACCAAACTTGCATTATTTGATAACAGGATAGGCAAAACTGTGTGTGTCCTTGATTTTGGACCAAAGTTCAAATATTATCTGAACTTGATGATTTCCTAATATTTCCTCAAAATATCACCTTGAATCAAGTTCATTCACTTAAATGATGAATTTCGTCATAAAGTTATAATTTCATAATTTAATTAATTGAAAATTTTGCACAATTGTACAATATTATTTCATAACAACTCAATAAATTTATCTGTTATTTTAGTTGATGTTAACATTTGTTTTCTCAATTAATTAATTAATTTAATTGGACAATTTCATCATTCGCATAATAATTTCGCAACGTACTACACACAGATTATCTATTATTTTAATTGATCATCGTCATGGCAACATATCTTGTGCGTACTTTCCGTTGTTTGTGCATTGCTTAGCAACTTACGAAATAGTTGATATTATTATTTTTCGTTTGCTTTCTGTGACGCGTATTGAAAATATGTTATATAATAAATTGATAATTTTGCATATATTATTTAATCAGCAAATGAAATTATCTTGTTCGAAACGAAAAAAAAAATATATATAATTTCGAACTTGTGAGTGAGATTTTTCTTTCTTTCCATCTTTGGAAATTCCTCAGAGGAGAAAGAACATCTGCCTCTCCCTTTGAGTGCATCCATCCATCACGTATTATCGAAGACCGGTTTCTATGGGAACCAAGAAGAAACAAATCGACCCGAAGAAAGTTACCGCCGGAGCCGATTCTTCTCTTTCATCTCATTTACCCTCAACCTCTTCTTACCTGCCTCAACTTTCATCATTCCAAGATGTTTCTTTTTAAATGAAATTTATGCCTTTTTTATTTGTTCTTTTAGATAAGATGTGCGATCAGATCAGTGACGCCATCCTCGACGCCCATCTGCAGCAGGACCCCAACGCCAAAGTAGCTTGCGGTAAGTGCGTCTTGCGGTGTTGGTAACCAAATAATTGGTGAAGTTATAGTGTAGTTGTTGTCAGGGGCAACGATTCATTGATTTCTCTATTGTTTATTTTGCAGAGACCGTAACCAAGACCGGAATGATCTTGGTGTGCGGAGAGATCACATCGAAGGCCGTCGTCGATTACCAGAAGGTAGTCAGGGATACCGTCAAGCACATCGGCTACGACGACTCATCGAAAGGTAAAAACGACGGCGCCCCTCCCACCAGGAACGACACACGCCCCCAAAAAACAACAAAAGCACATCTATTTCTCTATCTTCTTCTGTTTTTCTTTAATCACAGCCGCCCCAAGCTTTTTATTTTATTTTCTTTTACTTTTAATTTATTTATTCTTCAATTTCTCTCACTCACCCATTCGATGTAATGTGTGTGTGTTTGTTTATATATATAACATGAAGCAGGTGATGGAAATGTTTCTGAGAGCAATTAACCAATCATTCTCTCGACGCAAAGAAACCGTCTCTTGTTTAATTTTTTAAAATCAATTCATGGCCCCCCTAAAAAATATTATTATTTTTTTTGTGTGTTTTTTTTTTAATTGAAATTGAAATGCAAATTACTTTATATCAACAAAAATAGGATTCGACTGGCGCACTCTCAATCTGCTGGTCGCCATTGAGCAACAGTCACCCAACATCGCGGACGGAGTGCACGAAAATCGTGAAGAAAACGATATCGGGGCGGGCGATCAGGTACATAAACAAACAAAACAAAAAAACGACCAATCAAAAACAATCATTTCTGAGAGAGCATCTGAAAAGAAACCAATGAAATTTCTCCATTTCGTGATTATTAACCAATCAGAATCAATCGATCAATGAAAAACGCATTTGGGGTTCGCCAAAAAAAAAAATAGATCAACCAATCACACAGACGCACGCATCGTTTCTTTAGATTTTTATACGAGACGAAACAATTTGTTAAACAAAGACGAATAATTTGCATGTCAATTGTTATTGTTTATTATTTGCTTATGTGCTCTCCTTTATCGCCGCTTATCAAAGTTAACCGCATTTACATAATAATTATTATTATTATAAACTAACCATTCTTAATTAGTAATTAGTGTTAGTCATTAATTTTTTTTAATAGTCGCTTCGGTTGTTCGCGTTTCCAGCGGTTCCAATTTTTCTATTCCACTTTCTTTCTACATTTTTTTTTATTTTGCGAAGAAATAATCAACATAATTTAACTGGATGTCCCGTTTTTTTTCTTCTGTTGCCACACAGGGTTTGATTACAAGACTTGCAGTGTAATGCTGGCTCTGGACCAGCAGTCCCCAAATATTGCTGCGGGAGTGCACGAGAACAGAAACGAAGAGGAGGTCGGAGCCGGAGACCAGGTGATTAATTAATACCCACACCCCACAAACAACAATTGTATTTCTTTCTTACTCTCTGTTTTTTTTCTCTGCCAAACTTCTCTTTTTCTCTCAGTAGTGTGGTGGCACCTATACTTAGTAGGCACGTCTCGAATCCAGCCACGACTTTATTTACTGTATTCTTGTGCGATATTATTATCATCATTTTTTGGTTTTCATCTCAAATTGAAGCATGTTTTCGAAAACGTTCATTCTTTTAACACGATTATTCCAAATTATTTCGCTAACAGCATGATAGCTCTTCCAAAAAAAAAATAATAAATAAACGACGGGGTTTAAGAACATCCTAAAACAAAACAAAGTTTTAGTCATGTTTCCATATTTGATGAATGCATTAATCTTAAACCCCATCACCGTTCATTAACAACAAATAAATGACCATTGGTTTTTTTGTATGTAAATTTCGGATGTCTCTATAATAGTAGTAGATCAGTAGTTTAAATCTTTTTTTTTATGATTGTGTTGTGATGTGTATTCGGAAAAGTTGTATTAATTCGTTCGTTCTCTTGGACGAATCTTTCGTTTCTTTCTTTGCTTCGTTCGTTTTCAGGGTCTGATGTTCGGATATGCTACTGATGAGACAGAGGAATGCATGCCGCTGACGGTGGTGCTCGCGCACAGATTGAACCACAGGATCGCCGAGCTGAGGAGATCCGGTGAATTCTGGTGGGCGAGACCGGACTCGAAAACTCAAGTCACCTGCGACTACAGGTTCCATCACGGCGCTTGCATCCCGACGCGCGTCCACACCGTCGTCGTCTCGATGCAGCACAGCGAGAAGATCTCGCTGGAGGAGCTCCGCAAGGAGGTGCAAAGCAAAGTCGTCGAGAACGTGATTCCGAGCAAGTACCTCGACGAGAAGACCGTCGTTCACATCAACCCGTGCGGTCTCTTCATCATCGGTGGTCCACAGGTGAGAGAAAAAGAAAAACCATCACTTCTTGCTTACCGAGAACCTCAAACAAATTGCTTCAGTTAAAACACGCACGGTTCACATAAACCAATTTCCGAACAACGGCATTCACTCACGTATCGGAAACTACACAATTCCTAACAAAAACAACTACAATGTACTTTTCAGCAACTTTGTGTAGCTTTCAGTTATGAACGATAACTATTGTATTCTCGCTTCCATGACAACATGTTAATTGTCAAGACAACATGTTAATGTTTGTTTTATTCGTGTGACAGAGTGACGCCGGTGTGACGGGTCGCAAGATCATCGTCGACACTTACGGTGGTTGGGGCGCGCACGGTGGCGGCGCCTTCTCCGGCAAGGACTTCACCAAGGTGGACAGATCCGCCGCGTACGCCGCCCGTTGGGTAGCCAAATCTCTGGTGAAGGCCGGTCTCTGCCGTCGTTGCCTGGTGCAGGTGGCTTATGCCATCGGAGTCGCCGAACCTCTGTCCATCACCGTCTTCGATTACGGCACGTCGAAGCTGCCGCAGAGGGAACTCCTCAACGTCGTCAAGAATAACTTCGATCTGAGACCTGGCAAAATCGTCAAGTGAGTAACATATTTTTCCTTCTTTATTTTTTACGCACCAATCGTGAGAGTCATACGGCAACGCGACGATCCATCAAATCATTTCCATTTCGAACGAGGATTTTCGTTTGTAACCACGCACCAACGTGTGCGTCTCTTCTTTAGGGAGCTGAAGCTGCGCCAACCGATTTACCAAAAGACCAGCACCTACGGACACTTCGGTCGCGACGGCTTCACCTGGGAAACCCCCAAGGAGCTGCTCCTCAATTGATTCCGACCACGGAAGGGGAAACAAAACAGCAACAAAACAACAATATTTTATAAGTTAGCTAGATATCACACACGTAGGACGAAAACTAAAAGAAAAGAAAAAAACAAAATAATAATACCAAAATTAAATCTCTCTCTCCCAAAAGAAAAAACAACAACAACAAATACTTACTAAACAAGTAAACTAAAGAAAAGCAAACGGCAACAAAAACGCGCGTAAACTGCACTTCTGTGACGGCGGATTCATTTATAATTTGTTGTTAATCATTTTCTCGTAATAATTCGTGTTTCGCCTCGGAACGCTTCGGATCACAGGTGTCCCATTTATTTTATTTTTTTTAATATTACGTTGCTGTAGCAACGAAAACAACCGAAAGACGTGGAAAGGGTTCGTTCGGATGGAGGCTCCTGCAATCTGTGTGTGTCGAGCGAACGATTCTGGATCGGCAAAGTTCGGTTCAGGAAAAAAAACGTTCGCTCCGCCCACCTTGTGTTGTGTTTACGTAAAAGAATCTAATTGGAAAAGAGCATTTCCGAAAACACTCCGATTCAACGCGTCCCGAGGCCACACCCCCCCCATCACACATATATACTATTCACATTCAATTAATCATCGTTATTGTGCAACCATGGTGATGATTGCGTACCTATATTGTTTTCAATGATTTATCTTGTAATTACATCATCATTATTATTGTTATTGACGTCGTCATGGTTACTCCTGTTGCCTGGGCATTTACCTACTATCATTCTCTGCTACTTCAAGCTGCCACAGAACGCGAGTTTCTTACAGACATGTATAAAAAAAAATATTTTTTTTTTTTCTATTAATCGTATTTGTTTTGTAATTAGGATTTAGGTGAAATTATTTTAATTATGGGGGTGGCGGAGAGAAGTGACGAGTCGAGAATAAACAAAAACAACAGTACTACAGTACGCGACAGAGATCAACAGTACTACATATTTATCCTATATTTATTCGAGGGAGAGACAAAAGAGAGAAACTTCCCCCCACCCTTCGCAAATTAACATATGCTCGCGTAACCATGCGAACGCATATTAGAACTATATATATATATATTTAAAACAAGACAAAAATAAATTTAAAAAACAAAAACAAAAGCTCTAGTGATGATGATTGGGAGGAGCAAGAAAAGTTTTAGGAAAGACGCAGACCGTTAATAATTTTTTTTTGTTCTTCTTTGTTTTTGATTTTTTTTTTAATTATTAAATTATTAGAAGCGGAGAATAATCGTGACGCGTTTGTTTGTTATCCTCGATGCGCTAATAATGTTATCTAGGACTAATTTGTACTTTCGAATATATATATCAGAAACAAAAGAAAACCAAAAAAAACAAAAATATATATTACAAAAACAATTTTAATGTGATTTTTCTCTTAATGATTTTTCGAATGACGAAATATTTTTTTAGAATCTGAAATGTATATTATATTAAAAAAAATAATAAATTAATAATGATTAAGAAATAATACAAAAGCAAAAAAATTGCAAACAATTTAAATAAATGACAAGTTTAATTGTAAACATCCTTTAATTTTACCCAATCCTTATTAATTTTAATTAATTAGTTTGCTAAAAACTAGTGGTAGTGATATTCTATTGCTATGGTAACTTTTGTTTCTGTTGCAAACTTGATGATAAATAATAATAAACATTCAATCTATTATTGTGTGTATGCATTTTTTACTAAATCCAAGCAGGCTTCGAAGAAATCGAAGGGTTTTCATCTGAGCTAAAGGGGTGAGTGTCATGGCAACGATTGAAAACATTGTTTCTTTATAACAAACAAACAAAAAACGTGTTTTAGGTTTGACGCAGTTACTGAACAACCACGAGCGCGAACATCGTTGAAAAGTAAGTTAATTTCAATTAATTTGTTGTAAAATTACCTAGAAAGAAAATATATTTAAATGATGTAATTATAATTTTGAGTATTTGCTATCTGAATAGGCTTGAAGATAAATTCAAATTTCTGATTTTAAAAAAATCAACTTCTTCCAACAAACGTCACATTTCAACAATTGTTTAATTAAACATACTTGATTTCAGGATTTCCAATTGATTGCAAAGAAAAAAAACAATGGATTTTCGGCGGCAAATGCAGGAATATTTCATAATAAATGTAAGTCTAATTTCGCTAAAGTTATATTCGTAAGACATAATTCCCAAAATGATGTAATTATAATTTTGAGTATTTGCTATCTGAATAGACTTGAAGATAAATTCAAATTTCTGATTTAAAAAAAATCAACTTCTTCCAACAAACGTCACATTTCAACAATTGTTTAATTAAACATACTTGATTTCAGGATTTCCAATTGATTGCAAAGAAGAAAAACAATGGATTTTCGGCGGCAAATGCAGGAAAATATTTAAAAAGAAATGTAAGTCTAATTTCGCTAAAGTTATATTCGAAAGACATAAATCGCAAAATGATGTAATTATAATTTTGAGTATTTGCTATCTGAATAGACTTGAAGATAAATTCAATTTTCTGACAATTTTAAAAGTTTTCAACATTTTCCACTTCTTTTACACTTGCAAATTAAACTAATTGTTTTCTTCTATTGCAGAATTCTTCTATTGGATTTCCTATTGATATTTATAAACGTAAGTATATATAGTTTAATATATACTATAGTAAAACAATTGTAGAAAATGATGTAGAATCTGGGACTTCTCTTCTCATCACTCGTTATGCGAAACATCGCTCGTTAAGCGAGTCATTTTTTTTACAATTCATTTTGCTCGTTAAGCGAGGTTCTACTGTATATATTTTTTTTGTTAACTTTCACAAACATGAAATTTATCGAATGATGTTATTATATTTTTTGAGTATTTGCTATCTGATGAGACGTGAAGATAGTTTTCAAATTACTGATCGAATCAATTGAATAATTAAACTAAACTATAAACTATTTTCGATAGCTAATTTGTAAAATTTTGTTACAGAATTAATTCACTGCAGATTTCTCTTCCATCCAAACTTTCTCTTCTCTCTTACATAAAAGAACCATTCGTAGAGAGAAAATCTTTCTTGCTCCAACAACTATCATAACAAGACGCAACACGTAAGTTTATCACACGTTTGAATTATCACATTTCTTTTGCAAAAAAAAATCAAATGATGCTATTATATTATTGAGTATTTGCTATCCGATGAGACGTGAAGACAACTTCAAATTTCTGATTGATTTAAACAACAACAAAAAACACTTCAATCTATTTTGTTATATAACCAAATTTTTAAAACTAATCTTCTGTTTTTTATTTTTAGGAATCAGCAAAGAATTGTTACTTAATACTAAAAGCACGACGAAGATGAAACACGTAAGTTTTATTATTTTTACACGTATTTTTATTCTGCAAAAAAATGTAAATGATGTTATTTTATTATTGAGTATTTGCTATCCGATGAGACGTGAAGACAACTTCAAATTTCTGATTTAAAAAAAAAAACACATCAATAGTTTTCAATTTGTGGATTTGAAACTTGAAACTAATTTATATTATTTTTATTTTCAGGACATCGAAATTTCAAATGCAAACATGGAAATTACGTAATTCGTCTAATTAAAAAGAGTAAGGTAAGGATTTTTTTATGATTTACTTCTTCTTTGAGGAAATTTTTATTTTTGTTGCAATGATGCTATTTTACGAAAGTATTTGCTACTCTTGAAGCCAATGATGAAAACTTTCAACTGAGAAAATGTTTACAAAGAACTCATCACAATTTTCGTTTATATAATCGATTATATACTAATACTTCTATTCATTTTTCTTTCAGATGAAATCAATTTTACTGAGAAATGGAATCACTCGAAAAAAAAGTGAGTATTTAAAAACTTAACAATTATTATTATATTATATTTTTCCAATGATGTTATTTACGAAAGTATTTGCTACTCTTGAAGCTAATGATGATACATTTCAACTGAGAAAAAGCTAATTTAATTGCAAGAAATTTCCTTTGATTACGTTATTTTAATTGTATAATTTTCTTTGCAGATCGTATTGGAAAACTTGCTGTGAATTGGATTGGACATAAACTTTCAACAAAACTAAAAGTGAGTTTATTTTAATATAAAAAAATACTAATAATTTTGCAAATAATTAAGTTTTTCCTATGATGTTATTTACGAAAGTATTTGCTACTCTTGAAGCTAATGATGATACATTTCAACTGAGAAAAAGCTAATTTAAATGCAAGAAATTTCCTTTGATTACGTTATTTTAATTGTATAATTTTCTTTGCAGATGTATTGGAAAACTTGCTGTGAATTGGATTGGACATAAATATTCAACAAAACTAAAAGTGAGTTTATTTTAATATAAAAAAATACTAATAATTTTGCAAATAATTAAGATTTTTCCATGATGTTATTTACGAAAGTATTTGCTACTCTTGAAGCTAATGATGATAAATTTAGACTGAGAATAAGATAATTTAATTGCAAGAAGTTGTAAAATTTCCTTTGATGTTATTCTAATTATATAATTTTCTTGTACAGATTGTATTGGAATTCGTTATAAATGATGGATTTAAGTAGAATTTTGCTACAATTCAAAAAGTGAGTATTTTTTTTAGTAAAGTTAAATTTGAAAATTGAAATTATCGTTGCTGTGATGTTAATTACGAAAGTATTTGCTACTCTTGAAGCTAATGATGAAAACTACACAAAACTGAGACTAAACATTATTTTTCTTCAAATTTTTACAATACAAAATCAATTATGTAGTTAATCTAATTACGTTTGTGTTTGCAGATAAAAAAAAAAGTCGGTGTTGTTGGGAAAATATTTGAGGATTCTAATAGTTGTTGTTACAAGTAAGTATTGAATAGTTAACAATAAGTAAATTGAAGTTGTTGTTGTTGCCGTGATGTTATTTACGAAAGTATTTGCTACTCTTGAAGCCAATGATGAAAACCAAACGCTGAGCTCTTACAACAACTCCAATTATTATTGTTCACTTTCAATTAAATCGTTTAAATTCATTTCATTCTATAAATGTATTTGATTCTTTAATTGCAGATTTCCTAATGGACTTTAAAAGGAAAAATCAATTGTTACGAGTTAGTAGGAACACAATGCAAGTAAGTAAACTCATACAAAAAATGATGATACAAATAATCATTGCATCCACAGATATGATATAAATTGTTAATTGATATTTGAAACAATAAAGTTGATAATTAAAAAAAGATACAACAGAATTGCTTACTTGTTAAGAATGTGATGTAGGCAACCGTTCAAACATGCGTGTATATTAAGTTGCCTGTTTTTTTTTAAATTATTTAATTCAAATATTTAGTTTTAAGGATTTAACAAAGTTGCAGAACGTTCTCAGATCTATTTATATTGTGTAAATTGGGATAATGTGTGGTGGTTGCATTATTTGAAAAAAGGATTTCAAATCAATTGCGAGCAAATGTGAAAATATAATTTATTGCTTCCAATATATTAAAATGTAGAAGAAAAAAAAAACGTTCCTGAAAAGTGTAAAGTGATTAATGAGAAACTGAGATCATTACCGTTTGGCTCTTGTTTTCCATGCTAGAGAAGAGGTGGCTGTTGACGAAATCATTCTTTTGTTTCTTCTTTTTGGGGGGAAAGGAATGGAAGAGGTAGAAGGAGAGGGCGCATACTTACAAGTGTGTTACAACTTAAATACACCAGTGCTCTGGTTGTTGTTGTTGTAGTAGTTCTTGTATGTGTGTTGTGTTCTAAATTTCGAGAATCGGGAATATCAGAAACAAACAAAACAAAAAATAGAATTAGTCATTGTGCGGCGCGGGAGATGCCTGCAAATAAGTGAAAGCGGTTGATGATCAAAGATGATGAAAACTATTGTTGATTGATTGATTTGATCTTTTGTTTAAAAGTTATCGAAGTGAGAGATGAACGAGTTATTAATTTATCAAAAAAAAAAACGCTGGTGAACTGAATAATTGAAAGGGATAAAAAAAACAACAACAAAAGTAAAAAAATAAATAACGAGAGCAATAATTAAAAAACCACCTAATTAACCCAGGTTACTAACCAAAACGACAACATGCTGTAAGATCAAATTATTATTCTCTTCTGTATTGCTTTCCTTTTTTTTTCTTATGCTTCAAAGTAATTGATGATGATTACTTTAATTAACTCTTAAGCGTGTGAGAGAACAACCTGAGCTAAACAATAAAGAGGATTATTTATATATATATATAAAAGAAATTTTACTTATGATTCTATACATACCTATCAACTTCTTATCCCTACACTGTCTATTATCTCTTATCAAAAAAAAGAAAACTTCCCTTTTCTCTCTCCCTCTGCCCTACGAAATATGATCAACGCAGAGTTTCTAAAACCTTTATGTCTCTTTCTCTCTCACTCACTGACTACAAGCCTGCCTGTTTATCTGTCGTTTACGAGTAAAACAAAATCTAAACAAAACAAAAACTCCCAAGAAGCTATTCCATAGATAACAACAACAAAAAATAAGAGAAAAAATTAAATAAATTAAAAATAATAATAATAAACAAACTGCTGCTGGATTATGTAAAATATTAATAATTAAAAAGAAAACTATAAATTAAAAACTACACTGATCTGTGTCTCTTAGAACTTCTTTAATTCGGAAAAAAAATTGTTTTTTTTTGTGTTGGTCACATACAAATGTTTACCTAAATTCTAAACACTATATTTATATACTATATATATATTTTAATTATATTGAAGAAAGAAAGAAAAAAAATCGTCTGACTGAAAGAAGATTCATTCATCGTCATTTATTTATTTTCATCATTACTATAAGATTTTTTCAGCTGTCCTCATCAGCGCACACCCAAAAAAAAAATGATAATAATAAATAAATAAAAAAACGAAATCAACGAAACAATAATAATAATAATAATAAAAATCAAACTTTTACAAAGTAATCAAGAACCTTAACATCTAAAGAAAGTACGTCCTAAACCTGGCTGACCTACAGAAATAAACAAATAGTGTTGTTGTTGCGGCTGCTGACCAGCCAAAAACATAAAGTAATGAAAGAAAGAAACCTTCCTCTTCTCTATTTCTCTTTCATTGTTATCATCAATATATATATCTATATTTTTTTTGTCTATATTGAATATGAAAAATTTATTTATTTGCTCGTTCCTGCAGCATATCCATAAATATTATAAATAACATTAGCTATCCTATCCTATGCCATCTCTTTTTTGTGTGTGTGTGTGTTTGTATTTTTATATAACTGTTTCCATCATTGTTACTGTACTTAACTGTGTTTTTTTTTCTTCGTTTTCCTTAGTTATTTGTATTTTTTTTTATCTGTATATACTTTTTTTTTTTTGTTTGTTTGTTTCTAGGCCAAGATATGAGAGACTGTCTGCGATGTAACCGAAGCACTTACATGTTTCTGTTTAGAAGCGTCGCATGCCGCTTGGGCCATTCATGTTACCACCATTTTGGTTCCCATATCCGCCATAACCACCTCCACCCTGGTTATTACCTAACAACAACAAGAAACTTAAATAAAAATAAAAGTAAACGAGAGTCGCGATTTTCTTATTCCTTATTCAATTTTCAAATGCTTTCTATTATTTTCTTTTCATTTATATTTGTGTGTGTGTGAATGGTCTAACTATCTATATATAATCTAGCTATCGATCTTCTTGTGATTATCGTTCAAATTTGGAGAGGTATATAAGAAATAATCTTAATGATTTGATGTAATACTTATATTTAAACTAGAAGGTATATATCTTATAATTGACTTAAAATATCAGTTCTTAAATAATTGGGTGTGTTACGTTAAAACCTTGTTGTCTGAAATAACATAAAAGAAATACGTTTAAGTTAAGCTGATCATATGGTGGATGTATCCAACCGGTGCGATCTCGAGAAATGATCATTCTTTCTTTTCATTCTTTCTCTCTCGAAACGCTACACCGATTGGTTGGTTGCGTGATGAAAAATGCTACTTACTGTACGGTGCAGGCCTGTTCTGTGGGTAATTATTCCTCATCGCTCCTCCTCCGCCGCCTCCACCATTGTAGTTCTGCTGATATCCGCCACCGAAATTGTTGTTGGGGGTGGGTCCGTTGTTCCATCCGTTGTTTCCGCCACCACCACCTCCGTTGTTGTTGTGGTGGTAATTTTGCGGAGGACCTTGCTGGTTGTCGTTACCCCAATTGTTTCCACCGTGGTTGTTCCAGTTGCCGGGACCGTTGTTCCAGCCGCCGCCGCCACCACCTCCGTTATTGTAACCAGGATTACCGCCGCCTCCGCCATTATTGTAACCTGGATTACCGCCACCGCCCATGTTATTCCAGTCCCCGCCCGGACCACCCCTGTTTCCTCCCCAGTTGCCGCCGCCTCCGCCGAAAGCGCGTGGACCCATTCTCGGTCCACCGCTAGGACCGCCGCTCGGACCTCCGCCCAAATTCGGCGGCATCATAGGGGATTTGTTCAGCTCGGACTTCTTCAAAGCCTTCTTCACGTCGACGCGCTTTCCGTTAATTTTATGCGCCCTTTCCACTAAAAAAGCAAAACTTAAATAAACTACATAATTTCAATAAAATTAACAAAAAGATAACGTACAGCAAATTTTGTCAACGGAATCGTAATCCTCGAACTCGACGAAAGCGAAACCCCTCTTCTTGCCAGTCTCCTTGTCAGTCACGATGTTGCACACTAAAATGTTGCCGTAGGACTTGAACGAGTCCCGCAGTTGATCCTCCTCCACGTCATCACGAAGACCACCAACGAAGAGTTTCTTCACCGAAGCTCCAGCTTCAGGACGACCGATCTCCTGTCTGGGTACAGCCCTCTTTGGCTCGACGATGCGACCGTCGACCCGATGAGGTCTGGCGTTCTGAGCGGCGTCGACCATGCTCGCCCTCTCATACGTAATGAAGCCAAAACCGCGCGAACGCTTCGTCTTCGGATCCTTCATGACGACGACGTCCACGATCTCTCCCCACTGCTCGAAATGTTCCTTCAGGGATTCGTCCGTCGTCCGGTAGTCCAAACCGCCGATGAACAATTTGCGGAGATGTTCTGGCTCTTGCTTTCCATCCTGCTGCTGCAATTTACAAATTATTACAATTTAAATCAATCAAACCACATCTCTACTTTCACGACGACAAGAACGCCTTGAAAACGCAATGACAAATTCTCTTACATTATTACTCATTAACATGTCTGTGTGGGTTTACTAACTAATTTAATTTAGTTTAGTCAATTCCATAAATAGGGAAAAAAGAGAAATGTTGGCACTCATATATAACCAATAAACAATACTATTATTAAATCTCTCAAACACAACTATGCTAGTTTGTGTAATAAAGGCATATTTTTAGACAAAATTCCTTTAAGCCACATTCTAATTATAACTCCCCATACAATACGAACAGAAACATTAAAGTGATTATAAACATTTTGGCGCCAAACGAACATTACATTTTACAATAACCACACAAAACCGCAACAAACATTTGTGAAATAGATATTTTATGCATAACAAATTGCATATCATGAAGAATTCAATCAAGGCTATTGAGAGTGTCCTTAAAACAATCAGGTTTAAATGACAATGAGCTCAATGCAAGCGTAACATGTCAGGTTAACTTATTATTTCCATATTATCAGTTATGTATAAGATTATGATGCAGCCAGTTATCATTATAGTATACATTGACATAATTATTGACGATAACCAACAATTTCATCTCTACAATTTTGATTGATTTTGAAACAACAAATCATGATCAGAGATAAAAAAAATAGCTTCAAAATATATATATCAATTATGTTTTAGCATTTAATAAGTTATGCTGCAAGCAATTTATCAAGTACACAAAAGGATTATAATGTCAAACACAAATGTCAGATTATCTTTTCACTCGATCATGTTTTGCACTCAGAAAAAAGCTTTTAAATGTATCAGCTATTCAGTTGATTGTTATAAGACACACATTTTCCTATTTAACAATATATTTAGCAGCTTTGTGAAAAAGATAGTAAACATTGAGATTACAATTAAATGGTCAAGATTGTGAATCGTTTTTTTTTTTGTAAGCTAAGGATATGGATGATACGCGTCGTCCTGGGGGAGAGTTAAAAATAAGGCTGCAAAAGAAAAGAAAAGGGGGTGACGGAAAGCGTCCCCAAAAAAAAACCGACGACGCGTTCGATCCCCTTCTTGCATATAAGCGTTTCTGGTCGCAGGTACAGCAGGTACCATAAAATTCGTTGCATAAGGGACGGCGGATTAACGATCGCAGGGGGCGGCTGCACACGTATTGGCGAAATTAACAATTGAAGAGGGAATTGCTCGTTTCTCGCTCCATCGACCGATTCGCAATTGCATTGTCGAGAGCGAGATGGAAGGAGGAGAGCGGCAAATGTTCTACGCATAAACAGAACGTTTAATAATAATAATAATAATAAATAAGGACGGCGATGATGATGATGATGGTGGTAAATGTTAACGGCAGATTAAAAACGGAGCGAAGAAAGCGGGTAAAGTAATTGTTTTTCGCATTGGAAACAAAAGTAGCGCGAATGTTGGCGTCATCAAGCTAATGGACGCTGCGTTCTGTCTATCGGCCATCGTACTATTATTACTATCATTATTATTGTATGCGCGTAAAGAGAAAGTGTAGAAATTGGAGAAAATGATGATGATGATGGATAAATGCAGACAACCGGCTTCGTCTCTCACCGTATTATTCGTGGGGTTCTCATCTTTCGTCGAGTCCATGGCGTTCGGTGTGGATATGCGGGAACCTCTTCTGTCGAACTGAACGAACAACAACTGACGGAACTAATAATTTCTTTTTGTTTATTGTAAAAAACGCACTTCTTTCCTGCACTTTCTTCTCTCTGGTTTTTTTTGTTTTTTGTTTGTCCCCTCGAAGCAACGAATAAACGTATAAACAAACAGCGATGGATTCACCTACACAAAAACAATCGCAATGCAAGATTTTTAAACCGTGATGCCAACCGCAAGGACAGAGCGCTTTCTCGCTTAAGAAACGGGTGCAACGGAGACGACTAGTGACGCTTCCGCCGATTAAAGCGATGGGAGCGATCAATAAAACGTTGGCGCAGGACAGGAAGTCGCATCGCGTTGCCAACCGACAACAACACCATCTACACATTCCTCCAGGAAATACTAACCATCGGTTAACTATCCTCAAGTTAGATTGAATATTAACCACCAGTTAACTTTACATTCACGTATTACCTAGCAGCTTATAGTTCGGTACTTTCTGCCCTGTTCCAACTCCAGTTTCATAATTATGATGTTAATTGTTAATAAAAATTAGTATAATTGTTCACAATTCACAATCATTTTGATTTATTGTGGTATTATTAAAGATTTATATTCCTCTATCAGCGCTACCTGTCGGTACGAATTTAAAATAAATATTTTTCCAATTTGAAATTGTTGCTGCAACGAAAATATTAATAATAAATTTGTTCTTAATAATAATAATAAAATTATGTATATGATCGAAGTGAAAAATACGTATGTTTTAAACAAATTTATAAGTTTTTATCCAATGATGAGATGTTAATGTGATTGCCTACATTAGGGTTTGTTTACAAACAAGGAGTTGTTGCTGCAGCGAGTATTGAATTATAAAATTTTGTTAATAACAATTACGATATGGATAAGTACGACGTTATAGGATTATTGGGCGAAGGTTCGTTCGGGCGTGTGTATAAGGCGAAGCAGCATTCGGATGGGAATTTTGTTGCTTTGAAAGTGATCAGCAAGGTTTGTTTCAATGTATATTGTTCTTCATTCTTTATTTTTATTATATTTGATTTGTTCTTAGAGAGGAAGATCCGCAAAGGAGCTGAAGGGATTGAGGAAGGAGTGCGAGATCCAGAGGTACTTGCATCATCCTAATATCATACAGATGTTGGATAGTTTTGAGACGGAGAATGAGATTGTCGTGATCACTGAATTTGCACAGAGGGAGCTGAATTATATATTAGGAAAGGAGGGTTATTTGTCTGAGGAGAGGGTGCAGGCCATTGTCTGGGATCTGATTTCCGCTCTGTATTATTTGCATTCGCATAGAGTTTTGCACAGGTGATTGTTTGGGGAAGTTTGTGTCGAGTTGTGAGCTTAATTTATTCGATTTTTAGGGATTTGAAGCCGCAGAACATTTTGCTGGATGGTAATAGTGTGGCGAAGCTGTGCGATTTTGGGTTTGCCAGGAATATGAGCACAGGCACTCACGTTTTGACTTCTATCAAAGGTAATTTATTAATTGGATTTTTGTGAATCGCTTTTGAGATTGTTGTTTAGGTACACCTTTGTATATGGCGCCTGAGCTGATAGAGGAGCAGCCCTACGACCACAACGCCGATTTGTGGTCTTTAGGATGCATCATTTATGAGTTGCTGGTAGGGGCTCCGCCCTTCTGCACCTCCTCCATCCTCAATTTGATCCGACTGATAAGGCACGAGCAGATAAAGTGGCCCACATGGATCTCAGAGAATTGCATCTCGTTTCTCAAGGGACTTCTACAGAAGAATCCGGAGAAGAGACTGACCTGGCCGGAAATTTTGAATCATCCGTTCGTGAAAGGACACGTTTTGATCACTGAAGACACGCCGACGATGCCGCTCACGAGGACGCTGTCGGAGAACACGCTGCAACGCAAAGAGCAGCAGAGGAACGAACTGAAGTCGGGCAGCAAGAAGCCGGAGTCGAACAACTCGAGAACGTCGCAGAACTCGAGGACGTCGACGATCAAATTGGTGGAGGAGGAGGAAGAGACTGCGTCGACGGAGAAGAAGAAATCTGTGGAAATGCAGGCGAAGGCGAGGTGCGACATCAAATTGGATTTCCACGAGGACAGTCAACCGATCGAGAGCGAGGAATGGGTCGTCTTCCTGCAGAAAACCATAGAGGAAATCATGAACAAGGAAGTCGGATGTTTGCTTCAATCGGGAAGCACCAACATACTGGTGAATCCTTTGAGGAACGTGAACGCTAGTCCGAGAGTTTTGGGTTTCGTCGCGAATCTCTTTGCATTGCCTTTGATCGTGGACATCGACGTCGAGCAGCTGGAGCAGATCAAGAAGGTCTATTTGGAGGTGAAACTCGTCCCCAATTTGGTGTACGCGACGAAACTTCTGACTACGAGGTTCAGTTCTTCCAGTCGCAGCTCTTCGTTGAGCACGAGGAAATCTCCTGAAGATTTGACGTACGAGGATCTGCACGCTCTGGAACAGATATTCTTGCTCATTTGCCACCTCGTCTACCTGGACAACCAATTCCTGGTGCAGTTCAGCGATTCTTTAGCCGTCCTCAACGTCTCGACTCTCTTCCAACAGTTTCTCTCTTTGGGTACGTTACACTCTCTGCTTCTATTTTCATCAATAATACAACAGTTTTGTTTTTGCAGTGAAAAGGAAAGTGAAGATCGTAACGGATCTCATCTCGATACTGACGCAGGTGCTTCGGAAGAGCCCCGAGAATCACGAGGTCGTCTCCAGAGTCGTAATGGACTTGGACTTTGTCTCTTTGCTCAGAAACAACGATGCTCTCCTTCGAGAACGCACCTGTTATCTGCTGCTATTCTTAGGCAAAAGTTGCATGAAGATCGTCAAAGGCTTTTGGACGATTTCCTGCAGGGAAACCTTGGAAGCTTTGATGTACGATTCCATCGAGAACGTTCGAAATGTAAGGAAACACATCATTTTCTTCAGCTTTGTTCTAATTCCTTATACTTTGTAGGCTGCTGAATTGGCCGTGGAAGAATTGAAAGACTGTGATTTCTACAAAAGTTCCGACAACACGGAGAAGGAATGATTGATATTTATTTATATTGTTAAAGATATTGTGATCATAGATGGAGCCCGTTTGAAACCAGAAAAAGAAGACAGTCAAAGTTGTCTTTAAAAATCATTAATTTTCTCAATAACTATAGACGACACAATTATAAATGAGCACTCTAATTAAAGCTAAATGTTTGGGGTTTCCAACGTACTAATTGTCATTTTTTTGTAGTTAGTACAGTAATTCACAGTCAACGTTGAAAAAAACTTTACACGACATTCTAATGAGTTTTCCAATGCGTGTCCGGATCGCAACGATTGTCTCGAAGTTGTTGACTGTATTGTGGTGAGAAAGCGCTAGCAAAGAAGCAAAGCAGAGTCAAGGCAAGTCGCTAAGATTCCTTTTATTGATCCTAAAGCAACGCGCACTGCATCCTGCTCTTGAATACACATTATTATTATTTGAAGAAGACACAGGTATTATTATTATTAATATTATTTTCTCAATTACATTGCACACAGCGAAACAGTTACAACTCGCTTAAGTACATTGATTGATTGAAACACATCGAATAAGCCTACGCAGATGACTACGATATAGTAATAGTAACGATAACAAGATTCATAACATCAGATTGAAAAAAAAATAAATAAATTACAACAAAAACTGAGAATGTAACACATACAACATTGTGTATGTTTTTGTGTGTGTTTTTCTTTTATTTAAATTATATAAATGTACTTATTAATTATATATATAATTGTTTCAATTTGTTTAATATAAATTAAATGATGGCTCGAATGCGGTCAGCGATTCGAAAACAAAAACGGGGAAAAAGAGAATTGAATTAATTATTAAGATTGGTTATATAACATCAACATCGATTCGGTTGGCAAGGGCTGCAGTATTGATTGATTAACGATTGAAAATTTTCCTAGAGATGTGTATATGCTCCTCGATGTTGCTCGATCACACAGCGCAGATTGACGCGTTTTTACTCTTCGACTGGGGCTGAGGCTGTGTCGAGAATCACCTCGAAGGAGAACGGCTGGAAGGCGTGACCCAGACCTGCGTAAAACTTGCTCTGGAACTCGACCCTACAAAAGAGAATATAATAATTCGTGATTGATTGATTGGATGAGCGCTTGTTACCAATGCAGACGAAGGGTGTGCAAAAAGGCTGAGAGTCCTTCCATAAGTACGAGGATGGAGACGGTGAGGCAGGCCCAGAAAGTGAAGATGACGTAGAGGGCGACTCCGCCCCTCCAGTCTTCGACGATGAGACCCTTGCTGAGAACCATGTTCCACAGGACGTCCGAGAGCTCTGCGATAACGACGAAAAAGTTGTATGATTAGAATCTTCTACTTTGTTTAATCAATATCTACGATCAACTTACGTGCGTGAGCCAACGAGAGGGCCCAGAGACGGAGATAAGATGCGGTGTGCGAGACTGAGCCGAGGACGTACTCTATGGTATGGATGCCCTGATGGATGAACATCTCAGTCATCTCGTCTTCGCCTCCGTGGCCCGCCGACACCTGTGTGGCGTTCTGCATCGGTTGCTGATCGGTGGCACCGACGGAGGCGTCCCCATTCTCGGTGGCTGCCGACTGCATCTGCTGATGAGACAAGGAGTAGCTCAGCTTCTTCTGATTCCTCATGATGATGATCGGTTTTGCGAGCAGCATCCACGGCACGCAGATCAGCGCGCAGACGACGAGCAGTTTCTGAATGACCATCTGCCCGGCGAACATCTCATCGTCGCAACCAAGCGGCACTTTGCTCGGCTTGAACAGCACCATATTGATGAACGTGATGAGAATGGAGGGCGCGCAGTAAGGGCTGCTCTTCAACAAACCCGCTGAAGGATGATAACAATTATTATTTGATCAACGCAAAAGGTAGCTAGCTTACGATCGTTGGTGGCCGCGTACGAGACCCACTTGATGAACATCAGTAAAACCATGTAGAGGAAGAGGAAACATAGGAAGATCACCTGCGGTACGAACTGGCAGATGATGTCCAGCTTGTTCTTGAAGTAGCTGCAAACATAATACAATTGATCATTTTCCAATCTAAACTCTTTTACACTACCACTCACAGGTTGTTCCAGAGGCTCATGCTGACGCCGAAGAGCATGTGAAAAACGCCCAGGATGATGGAGATCTTCATCTTGTAGGCGTTCTGGAAGATGATCTTGTTCTTGGCCATCTGCCAGACCGGATCCAGACCGATCGGATAAGGGACCTGCTCGAACTCGTACGTTTTCGCCGGATCGAGCATCCACGATTCTTCGTTGCGCACATTCTCGAACGTCCAGTTCTTGTTTACCATCCACTTGGAGCCGAATATGTTGACGGACTTGGAGAAGATGTCGTTGTAGATGAGGCCAGTGTAAACGGAGAACAGACCCATGAGGAAGATGATGTAGCGACCGCCGAAAAAGATTGTCCATATCTCGCTGTCGGATTTCTTCGAGGCGAGCTGTTTCTCCTTCAGCACCATCCAACCGCCGAAGAGGGCCATGATTAGACCATGACCCATGTCACCGAACATCACGGCGAAGAGGAAGGGGAACGTTATGATGGTGTACGGTGCCGGATTCATTTCGCGGTAGGAGGCGACGCCGTACGAATCGATGAGCGCCTGGAAGGCGGACGTGAACTTGTTGGTGTGGTTGTAGGTGGGCGGTTCTTCGCACGTCTCCATCCTGTTGAGGATGGGCGGCACCGAACTGCCACTCCTCTCGGTGCCTCGTCTCAGGGCGAGCTGTATCGTCTCCAGATCGAGTACAGGCACCCAGCATTCGGCGATCAGGCACTTTTGCGTCACGTCCAGATTGAACAGGTTCAGGGTGTGATAGATCGCCTTGATCTTGCGCACCTTCACGAACCAATTCTTGATATTCTTCGCCGCCGCAACGAGCACGCGATGGCGATGATCCTGCGTCTGTCCCAGCACCTACAAACATATACGTGTGTTCGTTCAACATTGAACATCATCATCAACAACAACAACCATCTTTACTTACGGTATTCAGATCTTCGATGCGAGTCATCACGCCCATCGCCATTTCGCGCCTATCGGCTGGAGCCTCCGGACAGGGATACAAGGTGGCCCTGAATCCCTCGCAGATCTTCTTCACGCGCGTCTTCAACTGATCACCTTGGAAGAAGATGATGAACACCGACTTGAACACCTGATCACTCTATAAACAACAACAAAACGCACATTACACTCCGCCTTTCTCGCTCCTCCTCCTACTCCTCGACCAATCGCGTTAATCCTTACCGTCGACGGATCTTCAAGGGGCGTCTCGATCTCGGCCTGCCTCAAAAACACGTTTCCTCGGCACGCCCTCCACAGCATCCTCTCGAAGGCGGGGATCCTCTCGCGCAAGATGACGCCGGCGACGAAGCTGAGCGTTTCGGGAATAACGGGATTAGATAAACAACAAAACAAATATATGTAATAAATTAAATTTAAAGAAAAAAAAATGCAGTCTGCATCCACCATTGAATTGGTGGAGCGGCGTTAGCAAAAGTTGAAAAAATTTTAAAGTTGAAAATTTAAATTATGAAAGATTAAAAAAAAAATCATCAAACAGAAAATCAAATCAATTAAACCAATATAATTTAACAATTTTTTTTCCCAAGAATTTCAGATTGGAGAACTATGAGACTATTTTGCTGCTGCCGCCGCCGCTGCTCGTCAATCTAAGTATCAAATAAATCCAGAAATGCAGAGGCGACTTCGATGCACGCAGCAGACAAGACGCAAGTTTTTCTTAACAGCACTTGGAACGAACAAAGTGTATGTAGTAGTAGTAGTAGTAATAGTATACAGTTAACATAGTTTGTTGTTTTAAAATTTTCATCAATTTCTTTCACTCTTCTAAATTGAAACGTTACTTCTATTGGGTGAAAAACAATTTTGGTATCCACGTTTCACAAATTTACAAAAAAAAAAAGAAGTAATAAATCACATTCAACACTAAATTACCAAAAGAATACTACATTTTTACTGTTTTTTTTTTAAATGCAATAGAAAAAAAAGAAAGGGCCCAAATAAATAATGAAAATTGTTAAATTATAAATGCAAATAATAACTGTGCACTACTACAAATCAATAATTCCAACTATGTAAATCAATCGTTGGCATCAATCCTCGTAATTTCGACGTGTAAAGATAGAAAAGAAACAACACAAGAAAACAAGTTGAAGCATAACGGAAACAAAGCGTAAACGTATCCAAAAAACAATAATAAAGCAGCGACGATTAGTATGATTACTCATTCTGGCTTTTGTCTTGGTTCATCATTAATACTTTTAACTCTCTCTCTCTTCACTTTCACTTTTTACAACGCATAATTTCAAACACTAACTAAAAACTCTTTAGTTTACTTTTTTTCGAAATACAAGACAAAGAATGCGCAAAAGATATGGTAATCAAACGAAAGCCACCATTGTGTACAAATAAATATGTAAATTAAAAACTAGTTCATCTATATTTTGATATAGAAAATAATAATGTATATTATATAAAGTGGAAATCTTACTGACCATGGAAAGAATTCTTCAGGATCAATAGATTTTTCCGGAAAACTGTTCAAGTAAAAGCAAGTTGTTTTAGTATACAAATAACGACAACAACAACAACAACAAAAAAAGAGGAAAAAAAATAAAATGAATGAGAATGAGTCTTCGCGACAGTGATTGATGGTAGTAATAACTAATTGAATATGGTGATGAAGATGAGAGAATAGTTTGCTTAGTTATGCTTCGGATTCTATCTACATGGTGGGGAAAGGTTGTGTTTGATCTCTAAAAACTAAAACACTACATTACATTTGTTGTGGGTGTGGTCAAAATTGAGAGAATAAGGGTGGATTGGCTCAATGGAAAACGGGAGGAGGTTCTAATATGAGTGTGATGTGTTCTTTTGATATGTATCGTATAATACGTACCCCAATTGCACGGGGCCCAGCGCTCCTTGCCGAGCTATAGAGTCTTCACTTATTAGGGCTCTGGTCATAGACTCAGTGGGGTTAACGCCCCCTTCGTGCTGCACAACACAACACATTAGCAACGAAAAAAATAAAAGTAAACAAAATAAATAAATAGTAACAAACGAAATTGGATAAATAATAACAATAATAATGATGATGTTCATCTTCCTCCCAACTCCCCCGCTAACCCAACAAACAACACACAAAACTAAAAACAATAATAATAATAATAAATAATGCGATTACTTTACCTTCTCAAACCCCCAATAATCGGCGGTAATTACCAGAGTCGCGGATGCGTTGCTAAGCAACGCTCTCTAGACTCTGATAACTACTGAGAGCCAAATTCAAACCCTCTTAAATTATTGTTAATTCGTTTACATGGAAACAACATGTTAATAAATATGCGTGTAAGAGTATAACAAAACAAACAAACAAACAAACAACAGATGTGTGAAATGATCGTGTACAATCAATATAATCAAGCAGCAAGCATGCAAAACGCCAGGCCAACAACAACCAAAACCAAACAAATAAACAAACGAACGCACGTGGATACCGAAAATTCGTTGACAACCCCACAAAATCTATTTGTGTTCTCTTTTTTTTTTCTTCTTCTTCTTCGTCAAAGTTCATTAAGAAGAGTTAAACTTAATTAACTTTTTAAATAAATTGTAATAGAATGTGTGTGTGTGTGTGAGAGAGATATAGACAGTTTATATATGTGCGTGTGTGTATTTTTGTTATTCGTTTTTAATAGTTAACACAAAGAGTAAAAAAGAAAATTAAATTTTTAACGAACAACAGCAACAACAAGAAGAATAAAATAACAACACAGACACGCGGCTTGCCTCAGAGTCGTCCGGAAGTTGCCCGTGTCTGCGATGATGTCAAAGTGCTGTAAGAACAACCAACGTCTCAGTCATATATATATATATCGCAGCTTTCAACGATGAAGTAAAAAAAAAATATTAAATCAAATTGATTTGGAGAGAAATCGCGGTGTGAAAACTTGTAAAATTTTAAAGACTAAATTTGGCGGTGGTAGTAGGTAGTAATAATAATAAGTATAGATATAGATATAAAAAGTTTCGTTACCCGAGCTTGAGGGCCTGTCCTCCGGCCCGCAGGCCCTCTTCGCCCAGAAGCGTGACCTGTTCCTCCTCGCGAGACGGATCGGCCATCTGGGCAGACCCAACAACATCAACAATAACCATAGTAACAACAAATAACAACCAATTGTAATAGTAACAACAGTATCCATAACAACAACTACAACAACCTGATTCGACACCTGGTGACACGACTTCTTCTTCTTCATTTCGTCTCTTTTACATAATTAAGAACATAAAGTCGGCTTAGTAGAATCAATACCAAAAAAAAAATTCAATTCATTACATAATTAAATTGCCGGATTAGTACGATTAGTCGGAATCGAATACGAAAATAGAAACCCGACTTATCGCGCGATTATTATTATTATTATTATACTCGCAAAATAATAATCGACAGAATCAAATCGTGATTTTTATGATGTTGTCGTAATGCATACAGGAGGAATCTCTCCATATCCATTAACAAAAATTGTCCACAAACAAAATTAATACGTTTATCATGTGCGAGTGTAAAATTAGCCAAAAATATAAACTATTTATGAGACTTAAAGATGATTTGCGACCGTTTCGTGATGAAACAAGTTTCAACCCGAGAGAAAGCCGCCATAAATCCATCAGTAACATAAAAATGTCGGTGCGTCCTCGTCTCTAACAAACTTACGTAATAGGCAACTAGTGTTCCATATAGCACATATTATTGAGTAATTAGTGAGAAAGAGGATACAATATTTTCGGAATCTTATATAATTATAAATCTAGAGATCTCGCCAATCGGTCACCTTCATCAAATCCGAAATAAGAATTTAAAATTGAATTGATTCGTGTTACTCCGTGCAATCTAAATATTAATTCGATAACGATTCGAACGGAAATAGAAGCGAAGGCCAGCATTTCTTTTTTTTTTGCAACGCTTTGCAGATTCAAAGTGCATTGTTGCGACACCGTTTTTGAGCAAGTTCAAAGTGCCGAACCTTTCGCATGGTAAATATTTACAGAGGTAGTCATCACGAGCAAATGTAAATTGCTGAACGAGGTGTTAATTTCCATCAAACACATCTACAGTATACATAAACACACGCTTTTCAGCTGAAAGCCAGACAAAGCGAAATATTTGAATACGATGAACCTGGCTTCTTACTACTTTACTACGTAAACACGCTTCGATTAGCTTACTTTTGGGCTTCCGTTATTCTCTTATCACCAAATGCGTAATTTGATATCAACTTGTTTGTATGAATGATAATACAGTATAGTTTCGTGAGCTTTAGATCTCTGCTGCATCATCACTCATTTACATTTCATCCTTTCATAGTTAAGCCGAGATGAAAGAGCGTGTCGTGTCGACCAGGTAGTCGAATCGATTATCGTTGTCCTTCTGTACGAAATCCGGCGCTTTTTCTCTCGAATATTTTTGTTTTTGTTTGAAACGATCGAAGGAATCGCAACAAGGAATTTCGACATAATCGTATAAGTTTGAGGGGGGGTCCAGCTGAAAATTTGTTTTTGTCCCTTCATCGGCACGGTTAGTACAAAACATAAAACAATTCAAAAATCATAACAAAAGAAAAAGATAACAATTACATCGTCACTGGTGAAATTGTGTATAAATATAGAAATAAAGATTAAATTATATCGGCTGATTTGAAAAGAAATATCAACAGCAATATCATACAGTGACAAAATAATCGTGGTGGGTGCATAAATTGAAAATCGTCGCTTTCCGTTCGTGCATCGTTGTGCGACCAAAACAATTGAAACCGATCGAACTCGAATCGGGAGGGTGGTCCATGCAAACAAAAGAAAATATAAGAAATCAACAACAAAACAGAACGAATGTAAAAAAGAAATGAATCCTCGGATGCTGTATTCGCTCTGAAACGTAATGGATAGCCATCATCATTAACCAAATAATTACCAAAACCAATCGATTGTTAAAAAAAAAAATAATACTTAGCAAACAAAATATATATAAAGTAATTCGCAGGAAATGTACACAAAAGTCTACGTGTGTCTCTGACCAAACCGCATACAGATCAATTATTCTGATAAATTTTCATTGAATTTTGAAGACAATCACAAGTGGCTAATTCAGATACGAGAATAAGTGATGGTTATACACGGAGTGAAACAGAGACGGTCGTGCGCGCATGCAAAATGATCGCATTTCAAAGATGAAACCAAATTGTTATATAAATAAAGTAAATAAAGCGCATCCAAAGATGTGTGTGATACATGATTACACATGTAAAAGCAAATACAGCATCCTAAAATTGATTTCACTGCGATTTCAAGCAGACTTTGACTTGAAATCGCCACGTCTCTCCTCTCTGCCGCCTCCCTCATTCACCACCAAATGCAATAATCAACATCATCTCCATAACGACGAAACAACAAATCCGTGCTTACGTTGTTCGCTATGAAGATTTTCAGTTTTTGGAATGATAGAGACGAGAGAGGAGAATGCACAGGAATTATTTGTTTGTTTCATGCTAACCAAAAAAAATAATAAACCCGACGTTAAATCGCAGGAGGGAGGGAGGGTTTCGTCCGACGAGCAGGTCTTACCTCGTCGAAGAAGACCTGAGTCTTCCTCAGGATCTGCTTCAGTTCGGTGAGCTCCAGGAAGTTGCGCTTGAGGGCCTCGGCGTTCTGATTGACCTCGCGCAGCTCGTTCTCGAGCTTCTCGAAGGTCGCCTAGCAAAAAAAAACAAACGTTAATAAACGTTCGTCCTAACAATTAAATAATCAATCTCATACCTCGAGATCGATCATCTCCCTCGGCTGCGGTGCTTCCGGATTCTCGCCGGTGTCGAGCATCGGGATGCCGTCCTTCTTGATCTCCTTCTCCAAGTAGCGCAGCTTGCGCTCCATCTCGTCGCATCTTCGCACCTCGTTCACGAACTTCCTTTGGAAAGCGTTCACATCGGGATTCAACTGCAACAAGAACACATATTAAACATTTATATACAAAAATAATAATAATACAACAGTTTTGCTGTATGATACGCGGAATTGAAGCGAAACAACGTGCGTCATCAAAACAATTCAACGCAAAATCGTCAATATGCATATTCATAAACAGTTGATAATGCACATTTCAATGTTTCTTTGATTATTCGTTGTTATAGCAACGCAAAACAATGGAATATTAATGAAATGAAATAAAGAGAGACGGACGAAACGCGCTGTGCCAAAAAAAATAAATAATAATACACTCCCTGCGAGACCTAAATATAAATGCGGCAAAGGTGAAATTTGATGCGCTCCATTTGCCAAAGAAATAATAATAATAGTAAAGCGAGAAAAATAAAATTAAAAGAGAAAACGAAGAGCCGCCTAAAAAAACATTATTTCTTTGTATAAAATTATATGTGAAACAAAAATAAACGGACGGACGATTACATAAGCAAAGACCAAACGTAAAATTTCCATAATTTAAACTACTCGCCGTTCCCAAATAAACAAACTTTGTCGAAACATTCGACTGTTTTCATTTTGGCAGTTTCGACCGTTTCCATGGGCGACTCTTTGCAATTTCCTCTCACCAATCGAGCACGAGTAACCGAACCGTTGTTACGTGCAATGCGTTGCTATGTTGAAACAATTGATTGTTTTTTATAATACAAGCGGTGATGATAACTTGCAAAGTATATCGTGCAAATTGTACGAGGAAAATTAATGGAAACGTTCCAATATCGGACAGTTTGATATGCTCAGAGCTCAGACGTAGATTAGTCGGATCATTGATTACGACTTACGGCACCATCCTGATGGAGAGAGACTAAGCAGTCTAATTAGAAAACAGTGCATAATCATACGTAATTATTTTTTTTTTAGATTAGATAAGGTGACGACCGGAATCTCTTCTGGCGTAATCTGACCTTTACTTGATCACAACTCACAACTGTTGAGAGCGAATGCGTACAACTTTGTTTTCTTTTTCCTACTGAAAGAGTATTAAATCCAAAGTTATCCTGACTCTAGGCTTTACTTCTCATTCAATCTAATAATAAAGACATTTTAGAACGAATTAATCATGTCTTAGATTTCAAGAGAAAACAAATTGAAACGAACGCCCATGGATATTTAAAACCATGTTTACTGCAGCCGATAAGTAAATAATATTTAAATGGAACATTAACATTCCTGCGCGCTCGTGCTTCGAAGAAAGTGCCGATAAATCGTTCCTTTTACGTGAATCACCTTGGACTGTGAACAATAACTGTGCACTGAATCGAAGGAGTTTTAGCACAATTTCAAGAAAAAACTTGTAGCATCTGATCAAAAGTATGAAACGCAATCGAAATGTCCCATTCAGCTACGAAATACATTCTAGTTCGTGCGCAAAGTTTAAAAAAATCAATAACAAAGAAAAATACGAACAAAAATAAACAAAGTTCGCCGGATTTTGAGTGCATCTGTTGCGATGAGATAAACGAAGCAAGCCAGGTACAAGTGAACTTTTGAAAAACAATCGATTTCGAGCACCTCCTCCACTCGAAACATTAACTCGCCAAGTAATAATATTTCTGTAATGCTCTGTATGTAATCATCGAAAATTAACATTTAATCGCAGAATGATTAAACTGCATCGGCAATAATCGTTAATTGGAATAAATATCGATCCAAGAGCGTTTTGCGTCAATAATGAATGACGACGGTGCTTCGTGTCTTTCGAAATACCGCAATTAAACAAAAATATATGCAACAATTAATTACAAATAAATGAAAGCAATTAGATGAGAAACTAATTGATTCAAGGGTTGCATATCCGATAAACGTCAATGAGGAAATAACCTAACATTGTTTAACTGACCGCTGGAAATCTGAGCCGATTTCAGTACACACCCTTCCCTCTGCATGTGTATCGATTAAGCGAGTTTTTATCCGAGAACTGACCCACATTATTAAGGGTTTCTTTCTTTCGGAGGAGTAAACGTTTAAATGGATGGTACTACCCCCCAAAAAGCAATTGATTACGTCTTCAGGGTGTACAATTGGATAATAATAATTGTAACGTGCTGTGAAAGTTTTTCGTAACGGTACAAATATGTGCGAAAAGATCGTATTGTTCTCTTTATGAAGTGAATTAAATGGAATTTAGAAAGTTGCGGAAGGTCCTTGTTGCATCGCATTGAATACATGATACTTACATCCCTGAACTGAACGAGGCCCAGCTCTCCTAGCTCAGAGACGCAGGCGTAAGCGGCCTCGCTCTGCAGGAAGAGCTGGCAGAGGGTCATCTCCGCGCTCCGGAATAGCGAGCCCATTGCTTTTTCTTCTTTTTCTCCTGTTGTTTTATAACCTTGTCGATCCGGTTCCTATGTCACTAGACACCAGACACTACTTAACACACGCACACACTTCCTCCTATTTCAAAACACGCACTGAATTACTCGTCTTCTGCTGCTGCTGCTATAGCCGATAATATTGACCCATACCACGTATAGAGTACGCTTTTTGGATGACGACGCAGCAAACCTGCTCGACACCACCACCACCGCGACTTTACGTACTAACTAAAAACCTGTCACACGGCGCAGTCACAGCACACTTCCAACATTCGAACCAACATATGGCATATATAACGAGAGAGAAAAAGAGAACACTAAAACCCACAGCCGCCTACAGATCGGCAGTCACGTGTTCGTCGCACGCATGCTCTTCGTCGCAGCATCCCAAGTGCGCACAGACAGAACATACTGATTTTCCACGTCCTATTGATCCCCCCATCCATTCCGAAATAAAAACAACCGTCCCGGCACCATCCCCATGGCAATCGTCCTAGCATCCATTTACGCCTACTTGTTCTCCACGATCCACGGATGCTGCATGATCTGCGGAAGGCTCATCCGTTTTCTCACGTCTCGCAACAGCAACTGCAACAAAACGTTCTATCAGTGTTTTATCACACGAACATTGAAATTTCACAAGACTTATCAATTTTAACTTTACAATACAAACTAGATATTGTCGTGTCCGACCAATTTATTGTCATCTATTGTATAACTAATAAGTATATTTGTTAGGGCCATGTCTTTCCTCTTAATTATTACAAACATATT